TTTGGGGATATATTATGAAGAAAGAAGGCCGGGAGAATCTAACACTCATAAGGATATATTGAGGAAAAGAGAAACAGAGACAAAAGCGAGTAATTAAGAAAATATTTTGTGTGAATGGAACAAAGAACAAAGAAGGACGCTAAAAAGGAAAAAAGTTACTCAGAGTAACAAAACACAGGAAATTGTAAAGAACCATGATTGCCCACGGTTAAAAGGGACACGTATATAAAAGAAAAAAAAGCAAAGGGACGATCGCTACATTATAATTCAATTGCAAATTACACCCTTGTGCAAATTAATTGAAACAACGGCTTTAGTTTCCTCTCTTTCATTATACGGTCAGTTATCGACCCACTGGTGTGACAGGGTGTAATCAATTTCTATTTTTCCTCAGATTAGGTCATTTGCAGTAGAGTGCAGTAATATGAATCTATTTTCGAGATGCATGATGAAATTTGTTTGGTTTTGAATAATATTGCGTCAGCCGAGTCCGTATCAGATTTTCATCACACCCAGACACTATTGTCTCGACTGTCGATTAGTTGACCTGCGGCCATTGTCTGCGATGGACGTTACTCCAAGGAAGAGTACGAAAATTGTAACGCTGAATGAACACTCTGCCAAACCTTATCAGTGAGCAATCCAAACTACTATAGACTGGCCCGGAAACTCTCCTGATTTAAATCCAATCGAGAATCTGTGGTCAATCTGCAACGAACAGCTACGTAGAATGGACAGACGAAGGACTAATATGTGCACTGGGTCATGTTTCATTGGAAAAATAGAAAGAAAGTAAATAATAACGCAATTATTCGTTTTGTTTCAATTAATTTGCAGAAGGGTGTACTTGCATTTTTTTCACATTCTTTAAGTTAGGGAATTATAGGAGTTGCCTTCATTCAATACTTCTGTTTACAATGCACAATTTCTGCTAATTAGAGATTAGATCTATACGTATGTATTTATATATGAATAAGTTATATTTAGCCAGCAAGTATTCATCCAAGCAAATTTGATTAAAAAGAACTGGTAAGGTCTGACGGGTTAATATTTTTATTGTATATTTCTAATTTCCGGATAAGATCTCGAGTATTGTGCCCGGAATTGTGGATAAAAAAAACCCAACAAAAACAAACTCCAGATATTTTACAAACAATTTCAAGCACAATACCCAACGCCTTATTCAAAAATTGTGAAAATATAATAAAATACCCAAAAAGACTTTCTCGGTTCTTTATATATATATATATATATATATATATATATATATAGAGAGAGAGAGAGAGATAAAACTGTCTGTACTTATAAGTGATTAATTATTATTAATCTTATTAATTAGATTATTCCAAAAATCGCTTGATAACGGAATGGAACTATGGAATTTAAATTATTTTTATAATTAAATTTGTATTTTTTTAGTTTCTTTGCATACATACATATTTTGGTGCAAGAAAAACGATGATAAATAACAGAGCTATTAAGCATATATATATATATATATATATATGTGTGTGTGTGTGTGTGTGTGTGTGTGTGTGTGTGTGCGTGTGCGTATATATATATATATATATATATATATATATATATATATATATATATGTATGTATGTATGTATGTATATATATATGTATACATACTTAAAAGTTTAATGTGAGGAAAAAGCGTGAAACCCAGGGTCACATACTCATATCAATCCAACGAAATATGTCAGCTCCATCACTGATATTGAGCGCTCTCACACACACACACACACACACACACACACACACATATATATATATATATATATATATATATATATATATATATATATATATATATAATTAAGTTACGAAGAACTTGGTAAACTGAATAGGTAATTCAAGGAGGATGAAATCCTGAGAGCTCAATGTAAATACAGAGCTAATATTTAATAAAAAAATAGACCACTTTAAGGTACCATTACAATAATTTATTTCACCAAAATCTTTTTAAAGGACTCCGGATCATCAGGTAACACTTCCAACAACGAAATGAAAGGAAAAAATGGAATTAGAAATTGATGGGTAGTGTAATTTTTTTAATTTAACAGGGAGGGTTATAGTTGTAGTTAAAGAGACAAGGTAGAGTATAGGGAGGGGTTAATTACATATCTCTCTTAAGCATGCTTTATATTGGGGTAGGAGGAGTGACCGAACCGTGACCTATTTAGATGGTTAACTTAACGGAAATGATATATAGGAATGGGAGGGGAGTGGGAGAGAAGAAAAGGAAAAATGGAAAGGAGAGAGGAGACAGACGACAGTAATACAGATATATCTAAATGAGTTTTACAGCAAAGAGAGAGGGGGAGAGGGAAGTGAATCGAAAGAGGCTGTAATTTTGTTTTAACAAAATTATGTAAAAGATAGATTTCAATGCTTGATAGAAATTTAGATGTCTAAAAAATGATGAATGTTATCAATTTAAACATTAAATTTTTTTAAGTAAATAGTTTAGGGACTTAATATAAGTTAACTACTATTTTTATTAGCACATTTATCGGGAACAGGTTAGAATAATTTTGTGTCAGGCTTACTACGTCTTCCCAACTGAACAATGGAAAAGGTTTATTCAGGTCTTCAGCATTTTTTTTAAGCATTACGCCCCGAGCAAGGCGTGAAGCCACTATGATACAGGGGGTTGCAGAAGATTTGGAACAAGAGCAGATAGGAGTGATAGAAGAAAGGATGAGGAGAGGGGTAGTTGATAGATCAAGGTAACTGGAGATGTCGATTGACATTACATTTGAATAGTCGGAGATTATAGCTCTCAGGGAAACAGTAATTGGGAAGGGTGTTCCACAGGCGAGAGGTACGAGGTATGAAGCTATTGGAGTAGAAGAGACGGCTACATATAACAGTTTCTACAGTGTAAGGGTGAGAGCGGGATGCCAGCCTCGTAGGGCGCTTGAATTCATGGAGTCTGGGAACCAGTGAAAGCAGCTCATCGGAGCAATTACCATGAAAGTATTTGTAGAAAAGACAGAGAGAGGCGACGGCGCGTCTTTGAAAGAGTGACTGTAGACGAGATGCCAGATCAGGGCCAATTATATTATATATCTGTCTCTGGATCTTGTCAAGAACTCCGAGGTAAACAGAAGGTGCCCCAGACCATATATGGCAGCAATACTCCATGCAAGGGCGAATGGTTGATTTTTATATTTGAAGTATCGATTCCGAGGACAAAAATTTTCTGGCGCGGCACAGAGAGCCAACTTTCCTCGCGGTGGACGATGCAATTGACTCAATGTATTTATTCCATGGTAATAACATTCATACTCTGTCTTCCATCTTCAAAGGCCATTCAAGAACCATAAATAGAACGGTGAATAAGCTTAAAAAAGATGGAACGGTAGAGAGGAAAACTGGATGAGGAGGTGAGAGCAGCAAGAGGGATCCTCATTTCAACTTAGAACTAAAGAGATCCAACTTAATCCATGAAACGTTTGGCACGTGAGAGAGGAGTTTCAGCTATAACAGTGCAGGCTTGCAAATGAAATGGTACGTGAAACTTGTGACACAACTTGTTACTCCAGGACAGAAAGTTAGAAGATTAGAGAGGGCAAAGGTCTCCGTGAATAAGTTGACAAATGTTTCTGGAATACCATATATATATATATATATATATATATATACATTTGAACGTTATTTCAATCCATCATGAGCTTCCGATCCTTAGCTATGATTAATTAATAATGAACATTTATGAACGTTTATAACCGATGTCACCTCGATTCTTCTGTTAAACTTGTATAATTATATATTCTTATTTCTCAAAGTAGAATAGTGTTATAAAAACCTCGGAGAATTCTAGTAAGATATCTGTAATCATTTTTAAGATACAACAGTCCAGAGCTTAATCGCACAATTGGACAATTTTGGTGTCACACGATTTGAACAATTTTACTACACACGGCATATATATATATATATATATATATATATATATATATATATATATATAGTAGAATGGATATGAGGTTGTAACCCTGGGTTTCACGCTTATGCGATCTTCAATCAAACTGATTTCAATAAGCACAGCGTATATATATATATATATAATATATATATATATATATATATATATATATATATATATATATATTATCAAATGAACAAAAGTCCGACAATTATTTTAAGACATTTTTATGTTTTAACATTCTTTTTATAGATACAAATATTTAAGTAAATGCTCTGTTTATAATAAACAGTATTAAACAACATTTACCGGCCTGAATGTCCGAGAAATTTTCACAGAAAATATTCGTCCTCCGACAGGATTTGAACCTGTATCCTATATGGAACCGTCATCTAGCTTGACGCGCCTCTAACCGATTTGGCCAGAGAGGAGCGTTCGGTTAGCAAGGTCGAATTTACTGTATGTGAACAGGTTCGAATCCTGTCGGAGGACGAATATTTCTCGGACATATATATATATATATATTAGACTTTAGAAGGAACCAGAAACCCAATCCTAAACAGGAGAACAAAATGTATCTAAGAGATGCCTGATAAGTGGTAACAAGTCCTTGCAAATAATGGTTGCTATACAATTGAAAAAAATGTAATTGTACTTTCTTTTTCATAGAATAAAGTTGATAAATAAAAACGATAATTTCTGATGACCGAACCTAATATAATAGATAAGTTTTTTTTTTTATTGCGATGGAGGCAGAGGCACCAGAAAGAAGAAAAAGGCTGAATAGAAAGGAAGGAGTAAATTAATATATGAGGTTAATAAAGTCATGGACTGACAAGGGAGATGTAGATTTACGTAGGGTTTAGCACTTTGAATACTAAGAATAATCAATAAACATCGAAAGAATACAGCAAAAATAAATTATAGCATTCTGTACATTAATATGGCGATGTCAAGAGACGTCAGTGCTGACTAATGTCTTTACAATAAAAAAAAATCCTTACTCAATGACTTTCAGACTTGTGACTAAGTTGTCCGTAACATTGCACATATTCTTACAGAGTCCCAGACCAGTCTAATCTTCTTCTTCTTCTTCTTCTTCTTCTTCTTCTTCTTCTTCTTTTCCTCCTCCTTGCAATCACTATACACCTTCGCTACTTTCTATTTTTCAATCATCATTACACTCTTTCTTCTTCTTCTTCTTCTTCTTCTTCTTCTTCTTCTTCTTCTTCTTCTTCTCTTTGCCTATCTTTCTTCTTCTTCTTCTTCTTCTTCTTCTTTTTTCTTCTTCTTCTTCTACTACTACTACTACTACTTTTTCGTCTCTTCAAATTCTTCGTCAAATTTTTCTTCTACTTGAACTTCTTTTACTTCAAATTCTTCTTCTTCAACTTCTTCATCTGTTCTTTAACTTTTTCATCGTTTCTATGTTCTTCAACTTCTTTTACATCAACTTCATCTTCCTCTTCAACTCCTTGTTGTTGTTGTTCTTCTTCTTCTTCTTCAATTTCTTCTACTTCTTTAGTTTCGTCTTCTTCTTCTTCTTTTATTATTACTACTACTACTGCTACTTCTTCTTTCAATACTACTACTACTACTACTACTTCTTTTTCAGCTCTTCAACTTCTTCGTCAAATTCGCCTTCTACTTTAACTTCTTTAACTTTTTCTTTTTCTTTTTCTTTTTCTTTTTTCTTTTTTCTTCCTCAACTTCTGCTTTAATTTCTTCTTTCTATTTCAACTCCTCTTCTTCTTCTTCTTCTTCTTCTTCTTTTATTACTACTACTACTACTACTTCTTCCCATACTACTATTACTACTACTACTACTACTTTTTCGTCTCTTCAACTTCGTCAAATTCGCCTTCTACTTTAAATTCTACTTTAACTTCTTCTTCTTCAACTTCTTCTTCTACCTCGACTTCATCTTCCTCTTCAACTTTTTCTTCTACTTCTTTAATCGCTTATTCTTCTTTTTATTCAACTTTTTCGTCTTCAATTTCTTCTTCTTCAACTTGTTCAAATTCTTTTTTCAAATTCAACAACCTCGTCGTCAATTTCTTCTTCAACGTCTTCTACTTTGGCTTCTTGAATTTCTTCTTCTACTTCAACTTCTTCTTTAGCTTCCTCTTCAATTTCTTCTTCTTCTTCTTCTTCAACTTCTTCTTTAGCTTCCTCTTCAATTTCTTCTTCTTCTTCTTCTTCAACTTCTTCTTTAGCTTCCTCTTCAATTTCTTCTTCTTCTTCTTCTTCAACTTCTTCTTCAGTTTCTTTTTTCTCGTCTTCTTCATGGCACATTCGTCCCTTTTCCTATCGTCAAAAGATACTTCGCTTTCCTGTTCGTCTGTCAGTCAGTGAACTTGCATTTTGAACGACGACATTGATTTCCATCCTGGGTCGCTTGAAATGCGTGGAGTTCACAAGGGACACTATAAATGTCAGACGCTAGATGAAAACTAAGCGGATGAGCCGTAAAAATCTTTTCTGACGCACATCCGCATTCATACATACAAACACTTATACGCACACATCAAAATATATAAACGCATATTTATGCCGTTGAAGGCTTGTTATCATGCTATTCTAAAAGGACTCTTGATTTTACTGTGTCCTGTAATTAAATGTACACAAGTTTGAATCCTTAAACTCCTAGTATAGAACGAATTGTTAGTAAGCTAGTCTGTGAGATCAGATCTGGTGTAAGTAGTTCATGTGTGCTCCAATATTGTGGCCTTGTGTCTCAATATGATATATTTTATATATAAAGTGTTGTTACCGGATTAGGTCTAAAAAGACCACCATTACTCCAGGAAATAATATGAATTGTTCTGCTATGGTTAACCGAAGTTTTTCATATTTTTTAACTTTTTCCTGGTGACTGGTCACTCTGAACGTTCAGCATCATGAACAGACTCTCGATCGGCCTTGAAACACAAGTTTCATTAAAAAAAAAGATAAGAAAAGAAAACAATGCCCATCAAAAACCCGAGTTACAAGATTCACGCAAAATTAGATTCAAGTACGTTTCTCAAATTTGTTATCCATCGGAAAGATTGCAGAGCCGTTTCAACATAACGTTAACAAAAAATCCTTGAAAAATAATTGAGCAGGCGCAGCTAACACGAGGCCTATTAACAGGCTGGCGGGATACGAATGAAAGTTAGATATGCGCGTATTCCCCCAGGGTACTATACTTGGACCTACTTCGTTCTTAATTTTCATGAATGACCTTCTTGATGACATCAGTTCTCAACTTGGTATCTATGCTGATGACACTACCATTTAATCCAATCTCGAGAGTTGACCTGATCAGTTCGATAAGGTCAAATTTACAGCTGACCTAAAAAAAAGACCTACAATCTGTTGTTAACTAGAGCAAGGAATAGCATGTTTATTTTAACACCTCTAAAACGAAACTTATCTCTATTAATGATCTGAGATACCCATTGCTACCTTCCATCGGCATGGCTAAAAGGGGAGTAACTCGTTGCGCCTACTTCAGCTAAAATTCTCGGTCGACTTGAAGTGCAAAGATTATATTGAATCAATTACTACATCTGCTGAGCCGACCAAGCATAGAAATGAATACAATATGGGTACCAGTAATAGGGAGTGTTAGAGAAAAGCAACGAATAACAACAAAAACTGCAATTTGTTCACTGTGTAGTGCTAGATAAATTTGATTTCCAGAATCTATCTTAAATATTTATACGGTTACCATTTGTCCATGCTTTGATCATTGCTGTCACATATAGTCCGCTGCTTCGGCTGTATATTTAGAGATTCTTGATAAAATTCAAAGGAGAACCAGTAAAATTTATTCTGACTAATGTAGCTGCCTTTTGCCTTTTCTATAAATACTTTCATGATAATTGTTCAGATGAACTATTCGCTATGGTACCTAGATTTTATGAATTTAAGCACAGTACTAGGTTGGCGGCAAGGTCTTATCAATTACAATTAAATTTGTTAGATGTAACAGTAAGTTCTATGCTAACTGTTTCTTTATTCGCACTTCTCGCTTGTGGAACTCTCCTCCGGCTTCTTGCTTTCCAGCCAACTTTGATATTCAAAAATTTAAATGCAATGTTAATCACTATCTACTGTTTGCTGACTCTTTTATTGTTTTCCCTCTTTAATAACGTTTCTCTTTTTTTTTCTTATTCTTTCACACTAAGTAGCTCCCTTGTGTCTTAGTGCCTATATTGCTTTCCATGGGGTGAAGTGATTAAAAAAAAGTTCCGTTGTCCGATCCGATCGCATTACGTAAAATCCAGGAACTTTCCGAGACTACCTCTTACATTGGTGCCTACTTAAGGATGATTCTTAACAGGCTCGTCTAGTAGACTAGTAGAGATCAAAGTAAGTTTTATCCTCACGAGTGCTCCGTTAGTGAAAAATGGAAATCTCTTTGGGGAATAAGAGCTAACGAACTTGCGCTGTAGGCCATTCTTTGTAATAGATCATTCCGTCTAAAGCAGAATAGGAACACACATGACACATCTCGCTCCAGAGTTCACTGTTAGGGGCAGTTTGGTTTAAGGATGTTGTGGATTTGAATCAACCCACAACAAAGAAAAAGGCAAAAAAAGTTTTTAATATAAAAATATACATTTTTTCTCAGCGTATACAAGCATTGAAGTTTCTTGTTTATAGTTGTTTGTTGAGATGAAAAGAAATGTGATTTCTTCGCGTGTACGTGTGAGATAAAAGACGTAAGAAAGACAATGAGGAGGAAAGTGTAAGTGTCACGTAGCTTGGTGTGGAAGACGGGAGGATGAGTAAGGAAATCTCTTTTAAGCCGCCGTCGCGAACTGATGCCACATGTAACCGTCTCTATCTCCTTACTGGTTTTGACCCTCAAAATAAATACTCTTCAAAGGGATCACAAAACATTTTTTGTATTGTCGGCGGAATCCCGATCCATTAAATGTTAAATATTTATTTTCAAAGGATTCATTTATTCACCAGAATGATGCTCAAATTCTCCGATTCAGAACCCATTTTTGTCATCCTCATCTTCACTGCCATATTCACAAGGTTTCGAACCGAACTTTTTATTGTGTTCACCGGGGTAGATTGTTCTAGTTCCACGTGCCATACCTCTACCGTATGTCTCAGTTATTTCAATTTAACTCAAATCTACAAATTTTGTTTCACCACTGCCGTGGGCTGGTATTGAAAACTGGGTCTAAACAATGTCCTTATCTATTGGTTCATGCCTCCTTAAGGACATCTGTGTATGAAATTCTGGGACTTATAAAACTAATATCTCAGCAACATTTTAACCAATGTTCATATTCCAATTTTTGTTATTATTATTTTTGCATTTTTTTTTGGCAGAGCTTATATTGCAATTTTTTGTTGTTATTTATTGCTTTTCTCTAGCACTCCTTATTACTGGTTCCAATATTGTATTCATTTCTATACTTGGTCGGCTCAGGAGATTTTTGTGGCTTAGCATATGTGCTGATTCATTAGGTTTTCGTATTTTCCAATGATGCTATCTGTCTATTAATAAATAAAGTGTTCGGTTCGAAATTCCAATCACCTGGAGAATAGCGTACATCGGCCGAAACGTTGTGAATATGGCTATGAAGATGAGGATACTAGTCCGAATAATGTAAATAATACAAGTAATCATAATACATCATTTCAGATATAGACAGCCATTTGATTATGTTGTTTTGCTACCTTTTTCGCTGGTATTATTTGCCTTTTTTTATCACCAATTTAAATCTTATTCTTGATAATCCTTTTTTTAATTGATTTATAGTGACCGTATCGCAAATTGCGACTAAAAACTCGAGTCATGTTTTCAAATAGACTTGTCGAATCGAGACTTTCATTTGGAAAGGCATATTAGCTGAAGCCATCCTATAAATTGGCATATAAGCTGAAGCCAAAATACAAAACACTTCAAATATCATAGCGTATGGATATAAAAATAGTATAGGCGATAAAGCAAATGAAGATAGAATAGGCTGCACTAGAGGTAGTTTCAGCCGACACGGCAAATTGCTTAAAAACAAAACATTAACCTGAAATATTAAGAAAGGACTCC